ATTCCTGTTTATACCAAACATTTGAATTTGTATCTCAGTACTTCTGTGATAATTTGACATTTCATAATAAAATGAAGATGATAAAGGCTGAAGACAGACATAAATTAATAAACATAGCAGTAACAATCTTTGTTCTTTTGTGACACTGCTATATTTTGTGTTTCTAATAATTGAACTAATTGCTTCGCAAAACGATTAGAATTTACTTATTTTTAAAAAAACATATTGCATATAAGTTTTCAAGACTATTGCTGCGTTCACACCAGAAGAGTCAAGCCTGGGTGATTTACATGTTGTAATAATTATTCAATTCCATGCGTGTTCAATAAAAAGGTCAGGAAAGGGCTTTCTTCAATATCAAACATATTAATAATTTATTGGATACAAATGAATAATTCGATGAACGGAATTCTGTTATCCTCAATGCAATACAAAGTGCGCAACAATTTTCATTTCCTGACTCCAGCTTTTATATGCAGCTGATATTAACAGAGTTTAGGGAAATTCGTCACTTGTCAATCCTTCTCCAGTCCTCTGTTGGCCGCACCCATACATACATCCTCTTTTTTCTACGAATTTTATTTTGCACAATATTAAAAGCATAAGACTTCTCAACAGCAAATATTCTGTGTTCAGTTTCACCCCTCTCTGCTCAACGGAAGTTTAGCTGCAGAGCTCAAGTTAATTTTTGTCAATCAGGTCTTTGCATTTCTATCAGCTTCATCTACTTCTGCAAGCATGCTTCATTAGTATGCAAGGCATATCACACTCAAGAGAAAAAGTTTAGTTAATAATCACCTTAAGCAATACAAACACAATTTTCATTAAACAAAAAAAAGTTTAATGAGAAAAAAATACAAAAATATTAAAAAATATATTCCTTTCTCTAACAAAATCCTGCGGCACGATTTGTGTGAATGAGGAGATGCAAATGATGCAATTTGTGCAAATGAAGCTGCACGAGTTAAGCATTTTGGCCATTTGATGCACTAATCGCTCAAATAAGAAAATATGAACTTCACGCTGTATTAACCAATCAGGAGCTTTCTCTTGTAGGGGCGTGATTATGACGTAGTGTCTGTTGTTGGTTTCCCGAGGGGAAATCCTCTTGCTGACACCTGACAACAGCTGATCAAAGTGGGCTTGGTTCAGTCTGAAGCACTGCTGAAAACTCTCATCATCCAGGCATAGTTTGTGGCAGAGTTGATGAACTCACAGTGCTGGATGCACCTCAGAAAGGATCTAGTGGATCAGACATGGCGCTGAACGAACCTATCCTGTTTTTCAGCCTTCTTAAAGCACATAAAGCACAGCTACGATCTCAATAAAATCCATGTTAGCCATTTAGCAACGAAGTCACCGGGCAGACAGATGCCCAGCCCATGACGCAAATCTGCATTTATTGTGAAGTAAATTTGACACGTGAAGTAAGCTAGTAAACTTAAAATGTTCATGGGTCTATTTATTTGCGTGTACTGCATCTGGCGTGAATACAGCATATTAGATTGTTTGTTCCATGGTTGGCTCTGTAAACACGCCAACACAACATCATCTTAGAATTATTAGGTTCTACCAGACATTTTTGTCAAAATTGAGTTATTGACATATTCTTATTAAGTGACAACTTATTTACATTATGGCATGTTGATTACATTTTAAGATTTTTATTCAAAAAACAAATGTTACACACATTGTTTGCTATGGAATGCCAAAACTTTGAAGCTCAATATCTCAAAATTATTTAGAACGCAGATAGAACCATATAATTCCAAGGTGACGATAAAACTATTATTCCTTTTTATTTTACGAATATCTCATTAAAACATCTACAAACTCATAAAACTGATTTAAGAGCAAGTAAAAACTATAAAACGTGTTCAGTGATTCACCACTGAGGGGCAATCTGAATGAACCATGTGATTCAGTTCTCTTGTTGCTACATAAAGCAAATCTGCAATGTTTCTAACAATGTGATCTGTTAAATGTACCCTTTACGAAAAAGAAGCTTATTCCAGAGTGCTCTGATGAAACTTTTAAACTAAAAATAAGAAAGTATTTTCAGTCTACATTTAAGGTACTTAAAATAGTACTTAAACATACTGGCAATATACTTGGCCTATACTTGTTCATTGACATACTAAAAAGTATTGTGTATTCAAAGTGTTTACTTCGCTTGTAGTTGTTTTTGTTCTTTTGATTGAGTACATATTTTTGGAAAGGTTACCCAAAATCTAAGTACTTGGCCACATCACAATTTTCCTCTCTTCAAAAATTATTTATTTACTACAATTTTTACACAAGTAACCTACAAGTATACTTGGAAGTTCGCTTAAAAAACTTAATTGTGGACTACTTAAAGTCTACAAACTTTACACTTATTTAATACATAAAAGTATACTTTTATATATTAAAAGTGGGCCAATTTATTTCCAATTGGTATTTAAGTAATACATTTAAAAGCATTAGTACCTATGTGTCATTATACCAACTACATGGAAAAGTGTATACTTCAACATAAATTTCATAGAATGAACTTAAAGTATACTTCTTTTTCATAAGGCTAATTGATTATAAATCACAACTCCACAGTTCCTATCTGTCCTGGAAGTTATGGTTGATGCTCCTAGTTAGATGGAAAACATTGACAAATTGTTGTCATTTAATGGATGTATAAATAAGGATCTTTTCGTGTGTGAATATTTGTGTCCATATATGGAGCACACATGTTTCTTTCTTGCTGTCAGTTCATATCTGCTTTAAGATCAGCTCCAGTCTCTGCACAGTGAGCATGATGTGATGGATTTGCTCCATTAGCGTTCATCTTGCATGACAATATACATGAAAATGACAGTAAAAGTGCATACGAATATACTATGGTTGTTCTGGACCACCAGAGAAGCAGGGAAAAAAGGGAGAAAACTCCCTTATTTACTGCCACCACCCATCCAAGAATTAATCAGAAATGGGCCGTTGCCTTACACATAAGGTTTCCAGATACACAACAATTCACTTTATATTGCATCCGAGGGACTTTAAATGCTATTTAATTGACCAGAGCTGACAGTAAACAGAGCTGCACAATACATTTTTTAAGTGTAAACGAGTGTTTTCAAGCCTGATTTGCAAGACAATTAAGACATTCTGAATTCAACAAGGTTCATAACTCCAGGTAGGAGCTGAGAAGGTCCTCCCTGTAGGCTTCAGGAACTTTTTTCTTAAAAGCTAGTATAAACTCAGTTAGTTGTGTTATTTTTTATTTATTTATTTTTTTTAGTAGTAGTAGAATGTAATAAAACTTATATGTATTTTTTCCCTTCTGGAACATCTGAACCTTCTGCATGTCCCTGAGTTGTCCTCAGAGTAAAAAAGATGGATCTCAAAATAATACAGATATTTAGAAAAGTTTTAAATACACGGAAATGCTGAAAAACATTTTGGGGATTGGGGATTTCTTAATACCGAGCAGGCAGTTTAATTGGTAGGATAATCAAGGGACTCATGAAGAAAAATCACTAAATAAAAAACACAGCTGTAGGTCAGTCAGGTAACAAAAAAGTAATGATTGTTTTTTGATCACATATTACTTATTAATAATATATTGCTATTGCTAGATTTATATTGGTTATGAAATGAAAGAGGTAATTGTATGCCACTTAATATTATTTATTAATGATATTAGTATATCCCTTATCCAGAAAGCTAATGGTAGCTGCTCTGACAATAATACACAGAAACAATTCTGTGGAAAATACAACGTGCTGACTTGTTTCAAGGCTTGAAACTTTTTAAACTGACTATTTAAAATACTTTAGTCAAGTATATGTTTGTCAAGTATACTTGTTAAGTATAATCAAGTATAATGTACTTTAGTTAAGTATATTCTTTACCCTTCGGATTACAAAGAGGCATTAAATTCAGAAGATTACTCTATCTAGACTGTCTACAAGTCATGGCAATTTCCTTCAGCTTAGTCCCTTTTTTATCAGGGGTCACCACAGCGGAATGAACCACCAACAATTCCGGCATATGTTTTACGCAGCGAATGCCCTTCCATTCACAACTCAGTACTGGGAAAAACCCATACACTCTCACACACACACATGCACTAAGGCCAATTTAGTTATTCAATTCAATTATAGTGCAAGTCTTTGGACTGTGGGGGAAACCGGAGCACCCAGAGGAAACCCATGTGAACACGGGGAGAACAAGCAAACTGAAATGTCAACTGACTCAGATGGGACTCGAACCAGCAACCTTCTTGCTGTGAGGTGACAGTGCTAACCACAGAGCCACTGTGCTGCCTCCTAAATGTCTTTATTTTTTTTTATGTTCCTTTAAATTATTTTAAGTCTTAAATTATTATAAGTTAAAAAGGTTTTTTAATTTAATTTAAGATTGTTTAAGATTTAAGATTTTAATTTATTTTTAGATTGTTTATTTAAGTTATACAAAGTTGAACATATTTTAGTCAGTTTGATCAATGGATGTTGAGATGACTAGAAAAGTTTATTTGATAAAACTAAAAAACCTCAGAGAGCAAGATTTTTTTACAGCGTACACTTGCAGCTACATCATAATCATGATCATTTTTCCCTGCTGGATGATGGTGTTGTCAGCTTCAAAGCCCTCTCAGATTTCTGAGGTTAAGAGATCAACAGCAAAACTAACATTGCGCAGGGAAAATGACTGAAGAGGAGAAGAACGTCTCTCTCTGACCCCCACTGACCAACGTGATAGAAATGTCACCATGACTAGCAAAGAGAAAAGCTTTCTTCCAAACCGCATAATACCAACGGACATCTCCATCTGTTCAATGGCTCCTCGAGAAAATACAAATCAAACATGACATGAAGAATGAAAGGTCTGGAACACATAAGAGGATCCCGAGGATCGTTTTCCTGGATAACAGCTAAACATTTGTTTTTCTTCACTTTTAGGTTAGGCTCAGGCCATTTTTAAACTATGAGGTGTGTACAAATGAGCATAATAGAGGTACTCACCAGGGTTGCCTTTTCTTCCACGTTTTCCTGGAGGACCTGTGAACAGAAGGTAAATGAGGGTCAAGTGTCTATATTTAGTTCAAAATTAGAGAACAAACTACAATTTACTAAACTTTGGGGTCATTTCTTTGTACTATTTAAAGCAGAGATGCCCAAAGTATAGGGCCCGTAGGCCAAACTTGACATATTATAACCTTTGATGTGGCCCACCATCCCATCTTAGGGCCCACTCACACTATGCTATCCGAACCGTGCCCAGGCCCATTTCCTGGATCGTTTGAGAAGTGTAAGTGCTCTGAATCGGGCTCAGGCACGGTTCACTTGGGCTCAGGCATGGTATGCTTGTAGTGTGAGTGCAAGCGCCTAAGCTCGAAACTGAAGATGAGACATGATTTTTTTGGGACTGTTTCATATGGATTTATTAATCATTCTTACTGTTTAAAGAACGCAAACTGTCGTAGATTATTAAAGATGCAAACCCCTCACTGCATGACAACTGAACCTTTAGCAAACCTCCTAATTCCTCCAGCACGAGGACTTTATGGTTGTTTATCAGCGTCAAAAGTGGCTGATCTGTTCGGCGAAATATTTAACTGCGTGTCACAGCATCCCAAACGACTATAAATAATATAACTAAAGAAATCACCACTGTGCTGAGCGAGAGCGCTAACTGGACAGTGCATCATCGATGACATAAGATGCCCAGACCCGAATGTAATGTGAGTGTGGGCCGTCTGGGGAGACAGGAGGGGGGGACAAGCGTACTTCGGCCTGGTTCAAGGCAACTGTACATAGTATGAGAACGCCCTCACAGGAGAGTGAGTATGATGGAGAGGGTTGGGGTGAATGCCTTTAATTCAGGGATCTTCATTTCTAATTTGATGTAACTTTTTTGTTTGTTTTATTGCTGAGCTACAAAAAAAAAAAAAAAAACTGAAATTAAATGTTTAAGAGAATTTGGACTAATGCTTTTTGACCAAGACTTCCCATCAGCAGAAATAATTAAAACATGAAAAATGGGGTGCAACAAACAGGACGAAATTTGGTCATGTTGGTGCCCATCTCTATTAACTCCTCTATTTATTGACAATGCGCTATGCACAAAATCTTAAAGCGTAACTTTATCATGGAGAGGCATTTAAGTATTAGCGGGTATTCAATTTTGCCATGGAAGTTTTTGACATGAATTAAAAAGAACCTAAGATCAAATCAACAAAAAGCCAGCAGAAAAGAAATGAGGCATATTTTGGTCTTGGATTTTACGATAGGTGTGGTGGGGGCAAATCAGTGACCTGTGTGTGTGTGTGTGTGTGTGTGTCTCAAAACAGAAGCATTACTATAAGACCCGACGTATCAAGAAGACATTTCAAGGTAAAACATCTCTACATAACATTAACATAACACATGTATAAGTCAATTGATTTCCTCCAAAGGAAACTCTTGGAATAATATCAGCAGGAAAGTCGAATGATTAAAATACAACAGTTAATAGAAATACACAAATGGCTTCTTTCAAAGTTGAGTACTGAACTACTTAGTGTAAGAAACCACACCACAGCAGAACAGCTCATTCTCCCCGCTGCTCTAGACATGGTGTCAATTATGCTGGATGAGACAAGCGCTGCCAAACTGAAAGCTACACCAAATGACACAGTTTTGCAATGTATACACACCATTTTACATGATTGAGAACCAACTCAAAGACACATGATTTGCACTGCAAGTAGAAGATAGTTCATTTTGTATGTCCACTTGTATATTGAGTATATGAAGAGTTCAGGTGCAAAATCCTCTAAATGCCATCAACAGTTTTCTTCTTGAATTAACTGGCTCTTGAGTGTAGGTTCAGAAATTTCACTTATATGGTGATAAATATGTTCTTTTCATTGCTTTAAAGTAAAATAACTGCACATAAACATACAGTGCATATAGTACAGTGTTATTTTTATTGTTACAGCCTTTTTCCAAAATGAAATGAAATTCATTTAATTTCTCAAAATTCTACAGACAATACTCCATAATGACAATGTGAAAAAAGAGTTTTGTTTAAATTGTTGCAAATTTATTAAAAATAAAAAACCTGAAATATCAAATGTACAGAAGTATTCACAGCCTATACAGAATCTAGACATCCTATAACAGGCTGTCTGTATAAACACACACCAGGTGGGCAGTGTCTTCCGTCTGGCCACTCTACCATACAGGCCTGAGGTGGATTGCTGCACAGATGGTTGTCCTTTTGTAAGGTTCTCCTCTCTCCACAGAAGAACACTGGAGCTCAGACAGAGTGACCATCGAGTTATTGATCACCTCCCTGACTAAAGCCCTTCTCCCCAATCACTCAGCTTAGATGGCCGACCAGCTCTAAGAAGAATCCAAGAATCCTGGTGGTTCCAAACATCTTCCACTTACAGATGATGGAGGCCGCTGTGCTTATTGGAACTTTCAGAGCAGCAAAAAAAAAGAAATAATAATAATAAAAAAAAATTCTGTAACCTTTCCCAGTCTTGTGCCTCAAGACAATCCTGTCTTGGAGGTCTATGGACAATTATTTTGTCTTCATGCTTGGTTTGTGGTTTGCCATGCACTGTCAACCCTGGGACCCTATATGGACAGGTGTGTGCCTTTTCAAATCATGTCCAATCAACTAATTTACTACAGATGAAGTCCAATTAAGCTGCTGAAACATTTCAAGATTGATCAGTGTAAACAGAATGTACCATTCTGAGTTTAATTTAGAGCTTCACAGCAAAGGCTGTGAATACTTATGTATAGTTATTATCATATTTCCTATTATCATAATACATATACTTGTATGTATGTATGTATGTATGTATGTATGTATGTATGTATGTATGTATGTATGTATTATGTACTCATGTGATGTTTCAGAGTTTTTTATTTTTAATAAATTTGCAACAATTCCAAAAACTCTTTTTTCACATTGTCATTATGGGGTATTGTGTGTAGAATTTTGAGGAAATAAAGGAATTGAATCATTTTGGAACAAGGCTTTAACATAAAAAATGTGGGAAAAGTAAAGCGCTTGGAATACCTGGCGCTATGAAAAATGTTTTTTTAGAAGAAAATTTCCGATTGCATTTAGAGGCTTTTCCATTTGTGGGTTCCATTTGACTGACTGGATGGTTAATGTGACTAAACCTTAACTTATATACGTGATGTAAACCCTTGTCCTTTACAGCAGGCTGTGCAGTTATCACTGATCTCTTCCTCAGTGTGAGAGTAGTACATCCTTTTCCACAAGCTGGGCTGATAGTTCTGGTGGAAACTTCTCCAGGAGTTTCCAACACCCAGATAAGAGAGGTGGGAAAAGAGCCTTGTGACAGACACAAGCAAAGAAAATCTCTGCAGTCCCCTTCTGCAGCACAATAGCGGCCAAAGATTACATCACACTAGTCCAGCCAGACAAACACAAAGTATTCTTTCAAAGTAGATTAACAGAAATATACAGAGGAGGAGGAAGGCTGAATTTAGCAGAAAAGCAGACGTGAGTGATTTTTGAAAAAGAAAGACAATATAAGATGCATCACTAAAGAGAGTGATTTTCTTTGTCATTTGCTTTGATTCATTTAACAGACATACACACTGTAAAAAATGCCGAGCTGTTGAGTTAATTGTTCAATGTTCACAGACCCATTGTTGGGTAAATTGTCAACCTCGGCTCACTCTGAAACTGTACGGCTATATACATTTCTGGAGATCAAGAAATTGGTTTCAGGATTTATGTGTCTTTGTAGTTTTTGTTGTGGTCTGACTCACTGAATGACCAACACAATCTCACGGCAATTCATAACTTTTTCATTTAGTGGCTAATTCGTACGAATTCGTATGATCTAATTCGGTCATTCGTACGATTTGCTTATCCCCCAATGACGGTTGGGTTTAGGGGTGGGGTTAGGTGCCACGCCTCCTTTTTAAAATCGTACAAATTTGTACGACTGAACTCGTACGAATTTGTACGAACTAGCCACTAAACTACCAAAACGTAAAATACTTACATTTTTTTCGTGAGATCAGGCTGGAATGACTGACCGATCGACTGATCCACCCTCCTTTTTCCCTAAACCCAACCAATAGTGTTTTAAAAAGTACCGATTGGCCAGCGCCCACCCACTTCCCTAAACCCAACCGACAGTTTTCAAAAGCAATACAGAAAAAGAAAAGGCCTTGCCTGATTCTTACAACATTTTCAGATTTGACCACATTCTCACTCTGTTATTTAATTGATAAATTTTATTTTTGGCTTCTGTTTTTGTCTTACCCGCGTTCTGGAACGGTTCTTCTTTGGACCTGAATTTCGTCATCATCGTCAACTCCTCTCTGCATCTTTAAGTCCGCTGATAAAGTATATTGTATTTATTTATTTAAACTACATTAAATTTAATTATATTAAAATCTGTTTTTTACCATTCGTTTTGGCTTTAACAGTTTATTGATAACTAATCAAAGAATGTTTAACTGAGCTCTGTGAAACATTTTGTATGTAGGCCTACAATCAAAAATGTAATATTAGAGCCATAGCTGTGGTGAATCGGCAATACTGTCAAAAATTAAACAATTTCTCTTATCAGAAAACAATAAACACAATTATCCCAGGCGCAGCATTGTATTAAAATTGAGCAAAAATAAACAAAACATAGAGAAAACATCTCCACCTTCCACAGAGAAACAGCCATTGAGTCCTTCACCTTCAAAACTGGCCAATACTGAGAATGAAGCTCGGCTGCCCCCTACTGGTAATTTGTTTCCTGAGTTAGAGAAATTCTCAAGTGCTATGGTTAACCACAGTTAACCATAAGTTAAGTTAGGTCATAGCATTTTAATCCCTAAAACATGCATTTCTAAAGGCCATATCTGCACATGGTGAGCTACTCGATGAACTGGTAACAGTGGGAAAGCTGTCCATATGGAGGTAAGCAGTCACCTGATAAGTGCGAAAAGGAACGGTGTTGTACCGTCGCATTCATTTTAAAGACAAAATGCAGTCACATGAACTTCTGGCTACATAATTTGCA